AGCAGTGATGATGAATCACTTCTGCAGCACCCCAGCAGAAATCCTTCTAGTTCACCAGTATCATCATCTTATCCTTATTCACCCTTAAGCACAGAATAACATTCTCTGGACTTAAAACAACGAAGGGTCTAAGGAAGCCTCCAAAGAGCATCATAGTTTCAGCAGCACTTTGGCTGTGGGGCTGGAGAAGGCAGCAGCTGTCTTACTGTGGGGATCACATACTCCGTCTTTGCAGGGGGAAAGTCCCTTCCTCTGCTGCTGCTGTTGCCTCAGCAGTCATGTGCTGGGTGCCTGCCTGTATGTGTTGCAAGAGAATTGTTTGGTGGGCTCAGATAGAAGATAGGTGTTTGATTGTCAAGGCCAAACAGCTGTAGTAGCAAAAGGGTACCAGAATGTTGCTTTTTTAAGAAAAGGCAAAGCTTTTCTTGCCCCTCCCTTCCAAAACAGCCATACAGAAAAAAATTCCTGAGTTCATTCTGAAAGGTTCATGTGGTGGTTATCTCTGCATTGCATTTGGTGGCTTTTAAAAGACAGGTGAGGGCAGATGGTGTTGATCTGCTGTGAGTTCTGCATTAACACATTGAGATTGCCTCATCTCAAGTTGTGTCTCCTTTTTAGGACCTGATGGAAGGAGATCTTTTTTCACAGAGACTTGGAAAACAGAGACTTGGCAGTTGGTTAGGACAAGTGCAGTCAAGTCTCACCTGATGTCACACACAAAAAGAATTGAGGCTAGATTCCTGACATCTTTTACCTAATATCACAAGCACTAACTATGCTAGTAAGAAGCTTGAAAAGCTGGAAATTTCTGACTCCAGGAAAAATTTGAGAGCCCCCAAGAAAAGTGGTGATAGCCCTTTCTGTCTAAGCAATGCTGAATCCTGCTTACAAAAGAAGCATGTGAATTCTGCTTACAAAAGAAGCAGCAAAAATTGGGGCCAGGGAAAGTGGTTTTGAGCTCAAAATGCAGAATATGAAAGTTCCAAGTGTAGAGGCAATGGTGTGTTCTCCCTTTCTTACACTGTCCCAAAATGACAAATTCTGTGTCCTTTGAAACATTCTTTTCTGGGTGTGCAGGAGTAGGGCAAGTTGCATTTGTGAGTGATGAATTTGGAAGCTCCTGGTGGTCCTCTTGTTTTTTTGCCTGACCTGTACAGCACTCCAGGGTTCACAGAGATGTCCTTGTGACTGTATGGGGACAACTGGGCAAGCCTCCATCTCCTAGAAAGCTCCCTGCTGTGTCCTGTGCTTGCTGCCATGGACCAGGCTTGCAGATCCTGGTGTGCTGCAGGGATCCCATATTCCCAGGGGATGCTCTAACATGTGGCATCTCTCCTGACACAGCAGCACCTAAACAATTTTTGTATCCACAGTTCAGGAAAGGTCATGGCATACATTTTCCCTGCAAGAAGGCAAGAGACATCTCTGGTGAACAGAGGTCTCATCCAGCCACAATGGTGCCCATGCTACGTGTGAGCAATGCTGGTGACATGCACCCATCACACCACTCCTCCACAAGGCAGGAATCCAGCCAGAGGGCATCTTCTAGGCATACACATACTGGACTCTGTGACTGGCACAAAGTTAAGGAATACATGGAGACACCACCTGCATGCTGGGGGACCTTACACCAGGGACATTTTGCTGGGGCACTGCTGACCATGCCAGGCTTTTCATTCACTTTTGCCATATGCTTTCTGCTAGGAAGACCTCTTTGGATCCCTCCCAACACAGGGTACACTGAAGTAAACAATATAACATATAGAGTAGAGATTCCACTGTCATGTAATAGTTCATCAGTTAGGGCCAGGCAAATTTCAGAATTTGGGCTAGTTGAAGGGAAAAAGAAGCTCTGGTAGGGTTCAGTTCCTTAACTCTGTCAGTTCTTTTATAGGAAAGTTAGAATTGCAACATTTGTACCACTGACTGTTCTGTATCTGGTATGAGAAGTTGAAGGGACAGCACTTGATCTCCTGTCACCCACTGGGCCCTAACAACACACGGGAATCTCCCATCAGATTCCTTTCCAGCTCAATGCCATGTTCTCCTCCAAGAGAAGCACATGGCCCAGAGGGGCAGCTGTAGGGGGGGAGACCCAGCCTCTGCTGATAGCTCCTGTGTCCTTGGATCGCTGCTGGGCATCAGGGTGAGAACTAACTGGCTTCAGTACGCTTCTCTGTCATATCTCCACTGTGATGTATGTAATTTATCTTGTATGTTACAAAATGATTTTTAAAAGTGTCTTAAGGCCTGTAAACTCCGCTGTTTGGTATGAAGATGGCATTCTGTAAAGAGCCTGCTGTATGAATATGTTCCCATGCTTTGTCCCCTATGCTGTCAACTACAAACCGTATCTGTTCTGTATGTAATAAACATGTTAACATCACCTTGGGCACCATGGTGTGTTCCTATGAAGGCACTGGGATTGCTGCTCAGTCTTTAAGAGGACACTTGCAAGGGTGGGAATGCAGCTCAAGTGTTCCCTGTTGAGCATTTCAGTGGCAGGAAATGAAATGTTGCTGGCTCACAGGGTCAGAGCAGAAGGGCTGGTCTACCAAGCAACAGTGCAATCTATAGCTTGTACCAGCAGCAGAAATAAAAGGTGGAAATATAAGGTGGCACAACTTCAGAAATAGAAGCTGGAGCAGAGAAGCATTCACCTGCTGGCTTGCTGGAACTTTAGTCAGGATGGCCCTTTCAGGTGAACTGCCAGGGATAACACATCAGGTCAGTTTTCAACACTGTACAGGGTGGCACTTCACAGTCCCATAGGCATTGGTGGTATCAGCATCATTTGACTGCAGGGAGCTTTTCAGTCCCAGCAGCATTTGGACACCTTCATAGTTATTTTGTAGAATTGCATTATTCAAGGGCTAGACATGGCAATGAACCATGTCCTTAAGACTGGAGAGGAGCATCTTCTGCCCCAAGCAGGGAGTCCTAAGGCAAGTCACCTCTGTGACCAACACACGCACTGTGGTGTGCCACAGGCCAGGGTGTAGTACAACTGGCAATGCCTCTGCAGTTAATGGAGGCACCTCAACAATGAGGTTTGGAAACGTATCCTGTGATCCATCCTAAATCCCTGGGGCTGCACCCTTCGAAAAAGCCAGAAGCAGTTTGAGCAGAGCCGTGAGTGAAGTACAGTCATGTCTGGTGGCTAAGTAAGCAGATCACTGCCAACACCCTTTAAACAATCCCCCCATGCTGGTAAAAAATCTGTGAGGAAATGTAGAAGTTTGGGAGGCTCATCAGAACTCACATTATGTTCTGGGCATGGAATCCAACACACGGCAAACAGGCTGTGCAGCTTCCCAGAAGGGACTTTCACTATCAGGGTAAGGCTCCCAGGCTGTCCAGGGCTCTGTGAGAAGACACCCATTTCATGACCCTGAGCTCACCAGCAGGTCCTAACTGTCATGCTAAGTGCCACCTACACCTCCACCTCTACAGGGACCCTTTCCTCCTATGGCCCAGGAGCCTCATTGAAGCACAACCTGAGATCTTCAACATGTAACTGTGTCAGTCTCCAGCCACTCCTGGATTGACTCCTTGGACCCAGGGGGCTGGATTTTGCCTACATCATCTTCAGAGATCCTGCCTCACCCAAGCTGCTGGGTGAGTCTGTGCCTTATCAGCTCCATCTGCTTTTGCTGCTGGCTTGGCTCCCTGGTATACTTTGATCATGGGTCATTTCTTGCCTTTCTGGGGCTGCTGTGACGGGCACTTGGGTCCGCCCTCTGTGGTCATTGTGTGTGCCTCCTCAGGGAGACACTTCCTCTGCTGGTGCTACATTTAGATCACAGCTGTGCAGAACAGAGGACTAGACTGTTCTACTCATCCCATCTGACTCACAACTACACCTCCCTTTAATCTCCCTTGTTCTTGGTTTGTGTTCAGTAGTACCTCAATCATGGTGCAGACAGGAAGGCAACAGCTCAGCTCAGTCCCCATCAGTGGAGACTATAGGAATCAGACAAACTACCTTCCAGCCACAGCAACTGCCATAGGAAGGCTCACAGCCTCAAACCGTGCCTTTAACATTACTCCTGATTCTCCCTCTCCTGGATTCTCCCATTCCTTCTGAAGCCAGAGAACTAGATTTGGCACATGCTCTGCAATGCTCCTGCCACAACAAGGCAGGCTCAGTTCTGTTCCTTGTCACAGGACCAGCTTTTAACTCACAAGAAAAGCCTTCCTTCATATCCCATAGCATCTTAACCCTTCAATCATGATGTAAAGCCTCTGGTGAGGAACCTCTGGTGAGGAGGTGCAGAGCCTCTGCTGAGGAACCCTATGGAAATACAGGTAGCCAATGTCAGTCTGTGTGCTCCTGCATCCATTTCCTGCTGGCTGGGGCCACATGTTCCCAGCTTCATCCAGGCCACACACACTGGGTGGAGCAGAGTCCAGTTGGTGCCCTCCCTCACTAAATCCCTTCAGGCTATTTTTGATTTCAGGATGCTGCAGTAAATGGAACACCACCTCCTGACTATCTGCAGACACAGGAACTAAACAGTTACTTCTGCAGGGAATCAATATATAAAGCTGAATGGCTCTTGTGCTCCCTCCACCCACACCCAGACCAGAGCCTCCAACAGCCTTTGACACAGCAGCAGCATCTGCAGCCACTGCAAGAGAAGATGAAATACCATGAACTGTGCTCAGGAGCTGCATGTTTTAACGTTCACAACGTGCTGCCCTGGAACATGGGTAATTTACAATTGGCTTCAAATGGTAAAAGCCAATCCCACCTCCTTTGCATCACCAGAGCGAAAATAATTTCCCCTATCTCTTGACAGCCATCTTTGGGAGTAAGAGACGGATAGCTTTGGATTATCTTAGTATTGAAGTCATGTTTCTCACTTCTTGTTCACTGCCTTCATATGCTAGTAACAGATCATTCTGCAGAGAACCAGATGCTGTGCCTGAGCTAATGGCTCTCCATTTGGCTGTCACAATGTCTCGGCATTGAAAAAAAATCATGGGTTTTCTTAGAATTGTGCTGCAGAATTAACATTTATTTCCATTTGAAGATACATTTTTTCACAGCTCTGTGAAATACTGTGATATTTACAGTCATTTTTCTGTGATTCATGCAGGACCCAAGTTATATAAAAAATGTTATGCTCCAAAGAACTGCAGCTAGCTGAAGCTGCAGCTGAAGCTGTGTATTTTAGAGACTATCCAGGGAACCAAGAAGACTCCTCTGCTCACTGTAACCAAAGTTATGGAAGAGGAGTCTGAATATATCTGCATCTTCCCTTTCAGATGAGGTGTACAGGGCTGAGGAGAAAGCTGGAAACATCCTAGGACAATGGGCACAGAGGGGCTCTGTAAGACCCTTTGTGCACTGAGCTTCTAACAGGTAGTGAGAGCACATGGGATGCTTAGGACACTGAAGAAGTCTCTATACCGGTGTTCCAGTAGCTTTTTTATTTGCCCACTCTTGGGGAGAGGCCAGGACCTTCTCCAGATCAATAATTGGCTCTTCCATGATTGGTTTTCCCTCCTTCTGCCACTGTGCAAGGATCATGGCTCGGAGCAGTGGTGGGTATGGCAGGAACCGAACAGTCACCTCAGGCACTGGGATGAATTTCTTGAAGGCTTCCTCCTCGTGTTTGGGCACTATACGCCAGTCATGGTACATTGCTTTGTCAATCTCCCTCACTCCCTCTTCAGTTTTGCCTGGGAAAAGATGATGAACACCAGTGGGTAACACCATCACATAAAACTGCCTCCAGACACAGCAAGTGTTGACTCTTTGGCACCAAAAATGCTACAAAAGGCAAGAGTCAACAGAGTTTTCAAAGGGCTGGACAAATTATTCCCTGCTATACTACAGGATCTCACTTCTGTCCTTGAGAATTGAAATAGAAATAGAAACAGGTTCCAGCTGAGTGGGTGATTCCCTCTCTTAATTTAAAGGTTTGCTTTGTCTCTCTCAAGTTCCATTTCCATGGTTAAGGAACAAGAGTAATTTCTCCCTACACTGATGAAAGCTTCCTGGAAAACTAAGTGTTAGAAGTGGCCAACAACTTAAAACCTTTGAATGAGTACTATTTCAGTAATTCCAGTAAGGGAAAATTATATACTTAATATAAAGCAACTCTAAAAAGGAAAATTCACTCATACAACTCCAATCATTAAATTAAAATTCCAGTAACACAACTTAATTGCCATTGCACTTTTTCCTTTTTAGAGACAATTTAAATTGGAATACCCTCATGCTCATACTGTGTCTTGCTTTGAAAGTCTCAGAACAGTCTGTCAGCTCATCTAATAAGCCTTTAGTGCTGCTGTTCCCCAAGGTCATATTCCACTGGCTCTCCCACAGCATTCCTTAGAAAGACATTGTGAAGGAGCTAGATTCCCTAAATGCAAGGAACTTCTTTTCCCATAAAAAGATGTGAGAAAAACAAATTTCCCAGTCAGGCAGCCTGCGGTTTCTCTGCTACCCTCACGCACCCGGTGCTCTCTAGCTCTGCCCCCATGTGTGGGAAAACGAGCTGGTTTTACCTTTGAAGGTCAGGTAGCCCCAAGCTCTTCCATGGTCCATGTTCTGCAAAGAAAAGAGGAACCTGTTGAGGGTGGGTCGCGGCGGGGTGGATGGCGGGAGCTCCGCAGGGCGCGGCGGGGCGGCGGGCGGGACGGGGCAGGTACCTCGGCCGTGTAGTCCGCCTTCACCTTGGTGATGACCCAGTAGCATGGCTCGCGGTGCGCCCACAGCCAGGACTTGCGGGTGACGGTGCGGCCCACGCCGAAACGCGGCAGGCGGCAGAGCAGCGCCAACAGCCGGTTCTCGTTCCGCACGTCCTCCCAGGCTCGCACGGGCAGCCGTTTCTGCGTCAGCGGCCGCCGCATGGTCTCGTAGTCCACGGCGAAGCGCTCAGAGTCCCGCGGCCGATCCTTCAGCGCCCGGTACTCGCGTATCTTCCTGGCCATGGCGGCGATAGGCCGGTGCAGCTTCTTGCGGGCCATGGCGGCGGCCGAGGGTGCGGAGCGGGCAGAACCGAGCGCCGCACCTGGATCCGCTGCTCCCGCCTCTCCCGGAAGCCGCGCCGGGCCCCGCGGAAGTCGCCCCGCCCGTCGCCAGGGTCAACCGCAGCGTTCCGCGTGGCCCAGCCGCCCGCAGCGGGTGCTCTCAGGCTGCTGCCCGCAGAGCGCACAGCGTGCCGCGGCCCGTCGCTGTGGTGCGGACCTGCCCGTGCCAGCAGGCCAGGCGCGGCCTGATGGTACTGTGTGCTAGGCGGCTCTCGGGGGAGCCGGGCTTGGTTGTTGAGATGCATCTGAACAGTGTCTGGTTTAGAAAAATCTGCGCAGATTCTGCTATGCCAGGGAACGTTCAAAACCCGAGTAAACCAGGTTTCAGGAAGATTAAAGCAACAGGTCTGGCCCAGGTCTTCAATCAGAGGCTGGGCCACGAGCAGCAGCCGGGTCATGAAACTCCGTACTGGAATGAGACAAATTCCTCTGAGCTGCTCCAGTCATGGAATGCCAGCACAGTGAGGCTACACTTTTAATGAGTAGACTTTAAGTAAAAACTGCATAGATCAGCCCTTGGATTTTGGCTAAATACTGGTAAATTAAATCTTGACAGAAGGCTTTTTTTCATTGAAATCTGTATCTTAAATTAAAAGAAGCACAGCAATTCCAGCACTGCTGCTAAGTCCTATATTGAAGGCATTCAGGATACTGAGTGGGTTTTTCCAGCAGCCAAGATCAATGTGTGAGGAGAAAGTGGTGTGTTCATGTGTGCTGCACACTAAAAAAGTAAACCACACATTAAAAAGGCTGACAATGCTCTTAAGACTAATATGGTGCATCTCTTGAAAAAAGATAGGGGCATAGGAGTAAGTAGGAGGTAGCTGATTAAGTTGAGAAACACTGGCTTACAATAAAATACTTGATCTCAACCCAGCTGTTAAAAACGAGAGGAAATTCCCGGTACTAAAGTGATTTGGGGGAACTAGCAGAGCAGTTAAACCACTTATTATAAGGTACAGAGTTGGGAGCTTGTACCCAAGGGTTGTGCAGCACAAGGATCAAGCTCGTTTCTGTTTAAGGCCCCTACATATCAGTTTCTGTGCGTCCACAGAGCAGAAGAGGTGACAAGAATGCTTGAAAAATTATGGAATTGGCTTTGCTGGACGGACAGAAATTAAAGACGCCACCACACACAGCAAGTCATCAAGTAAACGATGCAGCTCCGCAACAGCCGACCACATACGGCGTCTCCCCCTGCCCGGGTGAACGAGCGCAAATCATGTTCCAAACCCGCCACTTCCTGGTGTGGCTCCGCGGGGCTAACGGGGGATACATACACAGTCCGAGGGCAGCGAGCAGCGGCAGCAACGGAGCCCTTCGGTTTCTGCTTCTTAAGGGGAATTCTGTCAAGGGAACCGCTGTTAATTGGGGGGTGCTGCAGCGCCCTTCGCTGCCTCGGCGCAAACACGGGCGGGGGCGGCAGCCACCACCAGAGGGGCCCAGCAAAGAGACACCGCCCCACGAGCCGCCACCTGCACTTCCAACGATACGCTCGGCACACGGCGCTGCTTCCGACACTTCCGACGATGCGCTCCACACCGAGCTCCCGCGCAACGGCCCCTCCACACCCACGGCGGGGAAGCAGCCCCGGGAGCATCCGGCAGAGCTCTGCCCCACCCCCGCCCCGCGCGCCCATGGGAGCCGCCACCGTCCTGGCGTCGCGGGGAGGGAGGGGGCGGCTGCCACTGACGGCCCTCCTGCAGCAGTGATGGACCGCCTGCCCACGTGATGCGCCCGCCCAATGGGCGCGGCCACCGCCCCCCTCCCCCGTTCGTGCTCCCGGCAGCCCCCGCGCGGCCCGGCCGGTCCGTGTCGGTAAGATGGCGACCGTGAGTCTGAGGCTCGGAGATCTGGTGTGGTGAGTGGCGGCGTAGGCTGGGCGGCGGCCGCGGAGCATGGCGGACCAGGCGTCTTTAGTGGAATCAGGCTGCGGCTGCGGAGACGCAGGCGGGGCTGTAGCCGGCCCTGGGAGCGACGCAGCGGGAGCCGAGTCGGTCTGGGCCGCGCTGGGCGCTGTGTCGGTCTGGGCCGCGCTGGGCGCTGTCAGCCCGCGGTGACTTCGGAGAGCGGCTGTGGGCAGGGTGGGGCTTGGCAGGGCAGGGCAGTGCAGTGATGGGGCTGCTGCCGGGTTGCGGGTATCGCCGCCGCTTTCCCTTGGGCAGTGTGGGAGGAGCGGCGGGAGGCAGCCCGGAGCCAGGGCACCGGGCCGGCGGGAGGCGGGCTGGGCTACGAGCCGGGCCGGCACTGAGGAGGCTGGCGGGGGCGGCGCATGACGGAAGCTGTGTCAGATGGAAGGATGAAGGAAGCGGGACGGAAGGACGAGCGCTGCGGGGTTCCCTTGTAAACCCGGGCTCACCTCCCGAGAGATGCGAGAAGAGTTAGAGATAGAAAGTGTTTATGGAGAGCCACGCACTGTTTCTTGGCAGTGCTTTAATGAAGCAACACAACAGTCCAGCGTTTCGTTGCAGGTTGGGGTGTCCTTGTGGAAACACCCAGAAGCCGTTTCCCCTTGTCACTGCGATCTTACCCTCAGATAGTCAGAGCTGTGATTTTGTGTTTCCTGGTGGGGAGAAGTGAGAGCATTCCACCGCGCCCTGTAAGCACGGATTAAATGCATAGGTTTCGCTGTGCTGGATGGGCTAGGCTGTCCTGCCAGGGCTCAGAGAAGTAGCTGATTTCCAACACGTGAATAAATGCATGCATTTATACTGATAACCCAGATAAAAAGAAGGCTGTGCTTCAGACTGTGACAACTGCAGCTCTAATCTGAAAAATTTGCAGTGCTGGGAAGTTGTCTAATTTATATAGCAAAGTAAGTAAAGATTAGTTACTTTTAGCATATTTATTTCAGATGAGAATTTGGGGAATGTTACTCTCAGTGCTGGAATGCAGATTATCCTGCTTTAGTTTTGTATGTGACAGCCAGATGCTGTCCTTAGAGTGTTGTAGGGAACTTTTAACAATCAGACAGCAACAGCAGAAAGGGTTTGCTGATTTTTTTTCTCAGTACAGTAATGTGAGCATTGAATATGAGACATGGTCCTGGTCACAGGTCTTGGCAGTGTTGTTGCCTGCCCCTGGCTTCTGAATCCTCTGTGCAGCATTGCCATCTCAGCAGGCTACAGTGCCACTTGCTGAGAAGTTTTGTGTCAGGAGCTGTTGGGCCCCACAGGTTCTTTGCCCATCTCTTGCAAGACACTTACTAATGGGGTTTTGTGAGTACTGCAGCACAAGTCATGAAGTGACAAGGGTGAAATAAGGATAAAGCTCACCAGGAAAGCTGATGAGCTGAGGGCTAAGACTAATGTCTCTTCCTCCTCTGTGATTATTTCTAGTATTGCCTAGTTTTCATAATGGAAACATTTGCAAGTGTAGAAAGTAAGCTTTTCTGCCTTTCTTTTATGGGTCTTCATATTTCAGTTAGTGTGGTGGTGAGCACCTGAAGAAAGTGATAATGGAACACCTGTTGAGAGGATCCTGCTATTAATGCCTTTCTGCACGAATCGGAACCTTAGCTTTCTGTGCTGGGAGTTGGTGGCTGCTCTGCTCACCAACTGCTCTAGATAGGTAGATAGAAGTTCTTAACCTGAACTTTGGTCTCATTGCCTGCCTCAGTGTTTTTTTCAGTTCCATGTGAAGAAATCTCCACTCTTATGGTGCTGCAGTGCCTATTACTCTTGTATCTTGCAGACTGTGTTACAGCTACTCTTCTCTTCAGTTCTGGCAGTCCGGCAAGGTCAAACAGATTGTCCAGAGACCTGAGTTAGGTGCAGATGTCAGCCGTGTGTCCTGCCTTGAACAGAAGGTTTTGACTGCAAACTATAACTCTCTTATTATGAAAAGTGTGACATAATATGAAAAAGCAGGCATTGGGATAGTTAGTTTTTTCTCTAGTTCTAGTGCCTAATAATTTCTTTTTTTTTCTCTAGGGGGAAGCTCGGCCGTTACCCTCCATGGCCAGGGAAGGTGAGGTTTGTTTGTATTTATTGTTGCTTTCTTAGTTTTTCATGGTTTGTGGGTTTTTTTGTTTGGGTGTGGTTTTTTTGTGTTTTCCTTCTGTGTAAGGAAAGCTTTGCTTAAAAGCATTTCAGTTGTAGATTAATACTGGTTTTCTTGTTTGTTCTTTTACACATCTATCCCACAAATCTAAAGTGTGAACTAGTTTAGGGCTTTATTTGATATGTTATCTCAGTCTGTCAGAGGTGGTAGTTCATGTGGAATGAAAAGCCAACAGAGAGCCAGCTCTGAAACTGATTGTGTTTCCCAAATTTAGTTGTTTAATCCCTGCCACTTTCTGCAAGACATATTTTTTTTCTTCCATAGTAAGTTGGCTAACAGTACTGTGTTAAATAATGGAAATAAGGAGTCTGGCTTCTCAAGATACTGTTTTAGAGTTGTTGTTTTTGAGAATTATCTAGGGTAGTTAGATCCTACTTCTGGTTTGGTTGGGGTATTTTCAGATTAAAGATTTTTAAAAAGGAATTTTATATGCCATTTCTATTCCTTCTACTTCTCAGAAAGACCTTTCTTTTATCTTATATGTTGTATGAGGGCTAAGCATGCTGAGGTAACAGTATGAGTCAGGTAAAAGAATAGTCAATGTGGCTGACAACTATAAACATTTGGTTATTGGGTTAACCTAACACCAGGCTCCTCTATAGGTGTCACCTTGTAACTGAATGATAGCTTTTCTCCTTACTAACATTTTAAAGTTGATAAGCAGTTTATTCTGCGAGTAAAGACAAAGTTTAAATTCTTAAAGTTACCTAAGTGGAACAAATTTTTATTAATGCAAGTTATCCTCCTAATCAGATTTTTAAAAAAATCTATAATAGCTGAACACTGGGTGGTAAAATCACAAAATTTGTCACTATGTGCTTTTTAATTATGATTTCTAATCCACTTTAGATTGTTAACCCACCTAAAGATCTGAAGAAACCTCGAGGAAAAAAGTGCTTCTTCGTGAAGTTTTTTGGAACAGAAGATCAGTATGTACCTCCTTGTTTTCATCTGGGGAAAATATTGTACCACATAATGTGGATCTTTTGTGGAAGAAATATTTACTAATATTACAGTGCAATGTAGCATTGTAAAGGATTCCCTTTGAACCACACAATAAAAGAAATTCAACTATTATTGCATGCTATAGCTGCTCACTGAGGTGTATGAAGGATATAAAAACTTAGCTTTAGGATTTGGATTGCTGTGATGATAGCTCACCTATGAGTGATGATAGCTTTAGGTGTGACATGACTGTGTCAGATTTTAGCATGTAATGAGAAAGGTACAGCTCAGAGTATTTTTATTTTTGCTGCCAGAGGAATAAAAGTAACTATATAATTGTCATTTGTGAAAGAATATACTTTCCTACATGGTATTGAAAATATTCTTGCTGTGCTTTTGTAAGACTTCACAGTATAAGAGAGCCAAAACTGTTTTAGACTTCCTTTTTGCAAAGCAGAATTTAATGATTTCAAATGTGAACAAAATCATAGTTGTCTTAGATTTAAATGATTACAAACTAGGTAAAAAAAACCCAATGAAAAAGGCCCCTGAGAACTGGGATATTTTGTGGAACTGAAAATTATTTTGATAACTTTTCAGTTTTCCTCTTTGTTTTCTGCTATTAAGTCATGGAATATAGAAGAAAATTGCAAATATCTGTTGAAGACTAAAAACCCCTTTACTTTTTTAGGAAGAAAGATGACAAGAACTGAGGCCATTTGGTGAATGTCTCTTAAGGAAACTATTTTTTGCTGCTAAGTTATTTTTGCATAGTACTAAAATATTTTTCCATTAAGAAATGAGGTCTAAATTTGATGGAGGAGTAGTGAATGCCACAAAGTAATGGGAATGTTTGGATCTCTAGTAATTTGAGGCAGGTGAAGGTTGATTTGAGGCCAGAGAACGTTTTTTGGTGGTGTTATTAAATATTATTATTTGAGTTAATAAATTCTGAGTTGAAATGGATTATTTCTGTCCTGATTATTTGTTTTCAATTCTTCTATTTCACATTGAATCAAATACAGATTTTTTTGGTATTAAGACAAACGATCAAATATCTTGGATACTGTAGCTGAGATTAATAACATGATTGCAAATGAAGAGTTCAGAGCTGCAAAATAATCGGGATTTATTACAAGATTCTAGAGCTCTGCCCAGGGCAAATTTGGTCATCTGGCACAGTGAAGTAGTATGGTTGTTGTAGTGTAGCCCCTTCCCCACATCTCCAGCTTGTGAAATTTAATCATATCATGCTAGATAATCAAGAATTAGAAATTTACTTGCTTTGATTGGCACACTGTACCTGAAAATCGAATAGAAATAAAGACTATCACCTTTCTTTCAAATACTGTTGATAGAGACAAGAGACAGAAGCTTTTGTGCCTCTTCTGTCCTGACTTGGAATGTCAGAAGGATGTACTGGTTAGAGCTGTGCTGTTCTAACCAGTGTGTTGCCTGAGAAAGTTCTCATATGTTTGATTGTGTTTGAGCATAATCAGCCAAATCAGGAAAAATAGAAATTATTTTTCTTCAAATGTGAAGATGAAGAGGAAATCTTTTGTACTTCTTTTGTACAAGTAAACTAGTGGGTTTGGCAAATACTTTTTTCAGGTATGTGTATAAACAGGACTTGGAAGGTAACTGGGAGAATGTCACCACCACCTTA